CACACACACACACACACACACACACACACACACACACACCAAGGGTTAGTCAGAACCAAAGACATTAAACTTCAACAACAGAACAAATACACAAAGCAGGCAGTATGCAGAACTGATCCTGTTTTACTTCATGAACTGAACAAACTAATTATTTCAGGTTTAACTCTGTAAACCATCATACTGAACAGAATAAAGTCAGTCTCTGTTCTGCAGCTTCTTCCCACAAGATTCTTTGAGTGTTTTTGTGGAGCTGTGGTGAGGAGAAAAGATGTTTTCTACAGGCTGGAAGCAGAGTAACTGGGTCAGTGTTGGTAAATCATGACGTTACTGGAGACCAGGAGCTGAGCCTGCACCTGAAACACATGAACTCAACAACGATCACAGCTGTCATGTAACCAAGTACAAATACTTTGTTCCTTTATTTCAGTAGAAATGTGCTTATTTGTACTTCACTGGAGTAATTATTTTTCAGCCTTTCTACACCTTCCATTTTAAAAATACACAAAAGTATTTCCTGTGTGTTTCACCTCAGCTTGTTCTCCTTCTGGCTGGTCAACGTTCAGAACAAATGAAATAAAAACCTCTCCAGATGTGTGGCGACACCTGGATAGAGTCAACCTGTGATTGTTTGGATGAGAAGTATAAACATTCTGACACCCTGTTGGTTGGTTGGATCCATCACACCTGTATGACACACATGACATGAGCCTCCTGCAGGACGGAGCAGATGTGTGTAGCCTAGCATGAAGATGACTGGCAGAGACGTATGCAGTCCCGTCACATTTATTAACATTTTATAGTCATTATGACCTGTACAACAATGTGTTTTGGGGAGGGGGGCTGTGCACTATAGGCCCCTGTGGCACGCCCTACATTACTTTAACTTTTATACTTTAAGAAGTTTTAAAACCAGTACTTTTATACTTTTACATGAGTAAAAACCTTGAGTTGATACTTCTACTTCCAAATGAAGTGTTTAGAAAGCCTAGTGTGTGTACTTGTACCTACAGTGTGTAATGAATGTGATACCTGTGACAATAACCAGGTGTGTTGTGTCCCAGTATCACAGTGCAGCTGTTTGGACCACACCTTACTGGAGCCTCTCTGTTTGGACTTATTGCTTTAAAGTTACTTCATGTCATTAAGATAAACAAACATGTTTATACTGATTTTTATTTTTTAAAAGAACCTGTAAATTAAGATTTGTTAACTATTGTAGAAAAAAAAGATTTATATTTTTTGATATATATATAAATTTAAAGAAAACTAGAAATGACTGTATTAAAGTTAATGAATGTATTTAAAGGTAAAAATGTGAAAGAGCCAGAGTGAGCTGCAGGTGTGTTACCTGAGGAAGAGGCCGACACCTGCTCCACAGGTGAAGGTGTGGGCGGTGCAGGCTCCCACATCCTCTCCATCCACCTCGGTCTGACAGCAGTAACTCTGAGAGCACAGCATGGTGCCACACACCAGGCACAGGGTGGGAGCACGAGACTTATCTGCACCTGAGCGGGGACACCTGCACAGGTAACATACAGGTGAGCAGTCTGCTCTTCTTCCTCTGTGTGTGTGTCCTTGTTTTTCCTACATCGTGGGGCCCAGTTTTAAGGAAAACACAGCCTTGTAGGGCCCAAAGCCTGGACCCACAACTTCAGAGGCTGATTTTAGGTGTGGGGGTTGGGTTTAGGACCAAGGTGTGACTTGAGTTCAGGTTAGTTTAGGGTCAGGTAGGTACCTGTGAGGTTAGTTTAGGGTCAGGTAGGTACCTGTGAGGTTAGTTTAGGGTCAGGTAGGTAAGGTACCTGTGAGGTTAGTTTTAGGGTAAGGTAGGTAC